TTAAATGTTGAGGATATCAATCCAGTCAAAATCCATGTGAAAACAACAACAACAACAACTCATAATAAAGAGAAAATACTTATAGGTGTCACGAGTCTGTAAAGACTGTGTAGCTTCTCCCTGTTTAGCATATGGAGCAGCTTCAAAAACACTTGAATAAACTGTGCAGAATTTACGCAAAGACAATGATATTAAGTTGTGGTGCTTATCCATCAATCCAGTTTCATTCATTTCAGGTGGAGGTAGGTGAAATAAGAATCTTACAACTCATAGTGCATATTGGTAAAATCTTGAAGGTCAGGTAACTGAATTATTAGCATGAATTATTAGAACCATGATGGGGGATGAGAGAAGGGAGAAGGGAATGCAATAGTTTTGGATCGGTAGTAGGGGATGTTGTTAAGGAAACAAAATAATATTAATATGCCTCAAGAAGGAATATTTTACCAATTTTACCAATATTATAAAATTCATAAAAAAACAGACAATTTTAATATATTTTTTATAGCAATTGTATATATTATTCAGTTACGTAAGTCATGTAGTCAAATAGCAAAAATAGGCCTATAGGTTTTTGTGTGTGTGTTTCAGATTGTCAAGTTTTCAGAAAAGAAAGCATGCTAACATGCTATAAAAACATGCTATTTTGATCAATTTAAAAGTGCATGTAACTTCATGTTTGTTTTACTGGCAATACAGAGAAAAAAATGATGGTGCGCCTATAAGAAAGCAAATTACTGTTACTCATTTAGTAAATTAATCATGGCTGAGTGTGAATAGAGCAGTACTACAGTGAAATTGCTAACCAACTAAAACTTTTTTTGAGTGATTCTCCACCTCTCTCTCCTGGTAGCTTTAAGTATAAATCCAAGACCACTTTCATATTGGGCAGTGCAACCTTAACTGTTACAGAATAATTAAAAAAAAAAAGATTTTACATCAACATTGTAAAAATTTACTTTCTGAAAAGTCTTTTCATGAATAGAAAGTGGAACTTTCCACTATCATAATTTGCCTTGATTGTCATATATCAGATATACTGCATGCTTGTAAACGTCTTTTTAAAGATGACAAGATGTGCTACCTCTGTTTCTATGTCCTTTTAATGTGGTGCTTAGAAAATCTGGGATTAAGTCCATAACCTGATTTAGAATAACCTAAAAAAATCCAATGGGGCTAAAGCAGTTCCATAAACAACTATTTAAATTCACACAATCTCACTAATTTGATCCAGTCTAGATAATTTGATGTGTACACATGAATAAGTTAAGCAGCTCTTAATGTTGATCATGGATCAAATCGATCCACCATGGCAAACAGCGAATATATCTGTGCTGTTTAATGCATGTCGTAAGTTCTAGTGAACTCTATTGGTAACAACGGAACTTGGTCGCAAGTTGCTTTTGAGAAATGCACCCCAGGTTAGTCTGCCAGCTGAGCTTGAGCTATGGTCAAGTGACAATAAGTCAGAGTATCTTAAAATAAGCCTGGCTTATTTGGTAAACTTGTTTTATGAAACAGCCCCCTGATGTTTATTCATGTGGCTGAAGCCCCGAATGTTTTCAGTAAACCCGATTTCACAATGTGATGTATGCAAACCAGAAGTAGGGAAAAATATTTTCTGGTGAAAGTCAGAAAGAGCTTTATTGCTTTATTACATATTTATTGTATGTTTGCACACACAAGGAATTTGTTTTAGTGTCACAAGCTTCCAGTACACAGAGACAACAACAACACACATACAATAAAAAAATAAGATGAGAATAAAAATACACATATATAAATATATATATAAAAAAAATTAAATTAAATTAAATTAAAAATAAAAATTTAATATACAATAAATTGTATGTACAGGTGTGCTATAGATAGAGTAAGATGTAGATATGTACTAGAATATAATATAAAAAAATAAATAAATATAAGGATATTGCACACATTTTTTTATTGCACAATTGGGGAACATTAAACTGTTCATGAGGTAGATTGCCTGGGGGAAGAAACTGTTCTTGTGCCTGGCTGTCCTGGTATTTGGTGCTCTGTAGCGACGGCCAGATGGCAAAAGTTCAAAAAGGGGATAACTTGGATGTGAGGGATCCAGAGTGATTTTCTGAGCCCTTTTCCTCACTCTGGATGTATACAGTTCTTGAAGGGTGGGCGAGGGAGCACCAATAATCCTTTCAGCAGTCTGAACCGTTCTCTGTAGTCTTCTGGTGTCTGATTTTGTAGCTGAACCAAACCAGACAGTTATTGATGTGCACAGAACAGACTCAATGACAGCCGAGTAGAACTGCTTCAGCAGCTCCTGTGGCAGGTTGAATTTCCTCAGCTGCTGAAGGAAATACAACCTCTGCTGGGCCTTTTTAACAATGTCAATGAGTCAATGTGAGTGTCCCACTTCAGGTGCTGAGAGATGGTGGTTCCCAGGAATCTGAATGACTCCACTGCAGCCACAGTGCTGTTCATGGGGGGTTTCTCCTGAAGTCCATGATCATCTCCACTGTTTTGAGCGTGTTCAGCTCCAGGTTAAGACTGCACCAGACAGCCAGCTGCTCAACCTCTCTTCTATAAGCAGACTTGTCACCATCCTGATGAGGCCGATGACTGCAGTAATTTCTCCAGTGATCTCTCCACACTGAAATAACCTAAACAATGCACAGGGGTTAAAATGACCATTACTATATAAATGAACGATATGTCACTAAGCACAGAAAAGCATTTTGAATCCCATCCTATTTTTTAATCCTAACTCAGAAGGTGCTTCCTAATAGGCTACATTAAAAACCAGTTGGTTATCAGAAAATTTACCATTCAGCATTAACTAAGTCCTGTATGTATTTACCTCAAGCTGATGTGGTTCCTCACACTTTCTTAATGACCTACTTCATCTGGCCCTAATTACCACTTTCCCTGCAATAATATTTGAGACTGAAGTGTCCAAATACAGTTTACAAAAAAATTTGTTTTATTAAAACGCTTTGATAATCATCCATAAAACCATAAAAGTGATAAACTGGAAAATCTCTATCATGGCAACTGGCTCATTATACATACCTTAATAATCAAAAATAAATTGCTCAAACAAGAATTTGAAGCCTTTGTCCAATTTGGATCTTTTCACATATCCCTGAAAATTGTCAACAAAACGGATAGCAGCGTTTGCTAATCTGACTTTTGGCAGATAAATTAACTACGAATAAAGGGTAAACTACACTTTTAAGTAAATTAGTAGAAGCACTTATCACTGTGCAGAAAAAGAAGTCACCGCCACTATAAAATGCTTAAAAAATACACATTAAGCAGATCCAAAACTTGCTGTTGGTCAATTTGTCTCTTCAGTGATGATTCCCCTCAGTTGTTGCAGAAAATCACATGGTATAAAACACTGCTTGGTGTTCACAGGTGTCTGTCAAATTTTGATGTTAAATCAGTTCACTATTTGGTCGGTACATCAGAACGTTATTATGCCGAAAATAAAACATTGATTCAACGTTGAAATGACGTTGACTCATCAACAGATACAGCCGACACGTCTAATCGAAATCATAGCATCTGAAATATGTTGATACTTGATTAGAGGAATCAGAGATCTGAGCTTTTTTTAACTGTCAGAGTGGAAAAGGGTAACTATAAATGTCTTTTTAAAATTATTTATATAATATATAGTGGTTTGTCCGTCTGTCATTGAATATTAAACTGTGTGACTGATTAAAACATGACGATGACATTTTAACTCTAACCTTGTCTAATGTGTGTTTTATTTTTTGTTCTGCAGACTTTTTTTTTTTTTTTACACAACTTATCTTATGGTTTATGCTTCGAATAATGGCCCATAATTATCTAAAAAAAATGTGTAGGAGCACAGCTAATATGCTTCTGCAGTACTTGAGTGTCTTTTGTTTATGACATGAAATGTTGAAATTAAACCAAAATCTTTTGAGTATTGTGAGGGTTGAAAAACACCACTTCTATATATTATTTCCATGACAGTTTTTTGGATATTGACATTTTTTAGATGTTGTTGCTAATAACTGACATATCCGAGACTAATAATCTGCCTCAGTTTGCAGTTTTTAAATGTCTTTTTCTATAAAAAAACAAAACAAAAATAATTTTCAGTGTGAAAACCTAAAAATTTATTATTTTTATGATAGTTTTTGACATGGACATTTTTGCCCTTTGAGGATTTCTGTTACCTTAAATCGATGCACAATACTGTCATAATAACACAACACCATAAAAAAAGCAAGAATGATTTTTATTAATTTAGAACTGATGTGATCTTTATTCACTTAGGTCTGCAAGGTTTAACATGAAAGGAGTTTTTACCAGTGTAGTAAAGCATAAACCACATGGCAGCTATTTTCAATCAGTCTAAAAATAAACAAATGACATGTACAAGACTCCATAACATTAACAATCTCAACAACAACAGGTACAACATCCCTCTGAAATCCTTCATATACATTTAATCCTCATTCATTTATTTATTGTTTTGACAAACTGAAGTTCATGGTCAGGTGCCCCAAGTTTTAAGAATTCCCCAGTCTTTTCCTCAGCGAGTCTCCAGGGGTGCAACGCTCAGTTTCTGGAGGGCCGCAGTCCTGCAGAGTTCAGCTTCAACCCTCATTAAACACACCTGATCCAGCTAATCAAATCCTTCAGGCTCATTTGAATACGGTATGTGTGCTGAAACAGGGTAGGAACTCAACTCTGCAGGACTGCAGTTTTTTGGCACCCCTGGTCTGCAACATCTCTCCAGAGATCTAGACATTCTCCATCACATTTATATGCTTTGCATCCACTTCTCACATCTCTTTAAAAACAATGTGTTCCCATGTGCATTTCTGTGTTGGAGATACTCTATACCAGGGGTGCCCAAACTCGGTCCTGGAGGGCTGGTGTCCTGCAGAGTTTAGCTCCAACCCCAATTAGACACACCTGAACCAGCTAATCAAGCTCTTTCTAGGCATACTAGAAACTTCCTGGCAGGTGTGTTGAGGCAAGTTGGAGATAAACTCTGCAGGACATCGGCCCTCTAGGACAGAGTTTGGGCAGCCCTGCTCTATACCCATGAGTCGGGGGATCCTTGGTAATGTTCACTGCAGTGCAACGGTCTCCTGGTGGAAGAGTAAAAGTCCACATAGTTGCTTGTGGTTCTGAAGCCGTGTGTCTGGCTGTAATCAGCGGGAGAATAGTGCACCATCTTTTCCAGATACGAGTCCTCGTAGGCGTGTGGTGAATGCAGGCATGTGCTGTAAGTGTCATGGTTTCTGTGGCCCGTTTCATCGGTGTGATACACCTTCTGCACACAAACACAACAATCTGGTCTTCAGCTAAACAGTCAAGATCTTGTTCATTCTCATTTTCAGCTCATTTTGTGTCAATCATTCATGGGCATTCATCAAAAGAGCTCATGTTCATGAACCCTTGAGTGCTACCTGGGCAGAAAACGCACCTCATAAGGGAGCATCCTAAACCAAGTGGAACATCATTAGTGACTGAATTAAGACACTACATTAAATGCAATATATATATATATATATTTTATAAAGTAGCTAAAAAAGTATTTAAAACAATTTGAACTAATACACTTGTAGTCCAGTATAAAATAATTGTTCAAACTGCTAGTGAATCAGAGTAATGAGAATCTATTGGGAATCCAGTAGAAAAGGAAAATTGTAAAGGTCCACTGCAGTGATGGGAAGTTGAGTTCAGCTCACCTGTTCTCGTTTCGAGCCCTCTCTGCTCAGGGAAGTGTAATACTGAGATGCTTTTGCAGACCCTTTAAAAATCAACTTGGAGTTAGGCAGATACATGTAGCTCAATTTTAGCTTAAAGAAATAGCAATCAGGTAAGTTTTGGATTTGGGGACTAGATTAACGTACAACTTAATTTAAATAGAAATCATTATGAACTCATGAATCGGCTTGTAAACTCAGTCCAGTTAACAGGCACCTTTGTTGAAGGAAGTTCTCATACCTATAGTTTTATTTTTACTGATGCCGTTTTCTCCTTGGTAATTATAAAATTGCATAGTTTGTGTCTTTGGATGATCAGAGTGTTCTTTGATGCCCAGCATGGCGGGAGATGATAATGTGCTGCCTGCTAAACAAACAAACAAATCACTGTATGAGTTAATGTGAAAACAAATAAACTAACCTCATTTACAGTCAGAACTACATCAACCTACATCTACCACTGTAACAATTATGTAATTTCACATAACACACTGCTCAAAAAAATTAAGGAAACACTTAAATCATTAAATCTTGATGAACGAAATATTCAAGTTGAACATCTCTACTTGTATACCCTGTGTAATTTGTTAAGAAGAAAATGATGTGACTGGTCAATGGAAACCAAAATCTGGGCTGGATGGAAGCCAGGGTGTGAGGTCTGACAGTGGCTCTGAGGAGTTCATCCTGGTACCTAACAGCAGTAAACATGGTCTGGGGAGGAATAGGACCTCCGCGAGCTAGACTATCACTGACCCACCGCCAAACTCGTCATGCTGGATGATGTTTCAGGAAGCATAACGTCCTCCATGGCATCTCCAGACTCTTTCACACCTGTCACATGCTCAGTGTGAACCTACTCTACTGAAACTGCGCCTGCAGATGCACCAAACATCCTTGCGTTGGCACGTATGGGTGCGCCATCCTGGAGGAGCTGGACTGCCTGATTAGGTTGAAAGTACTGCCTCATGCTACAAGCAGTGACAAGGACTCGAACAAAACTAGAGACAAATCAGTCAGGAAGAACAATTGTCTGTGGCCACCACCTGCAAAACCATTTCCTTTTTGAGGGTTGTCCTGCTGTTGCGTCTCCAGTGCACCTGTTGTCACTTTCTCCACTGCGCTGTACGCAAGTACAACAGTTAGCTGAAGCTAGAGATTACGGTTTATAAAGTTTTAAATAGGAATATTTTTCTTATACAAATGCATTGATTTGCTTCAGGAGGCCTGGAGCTGTGTGAACTATCCCTTTACTACAATACAGATTGTGTCAAAGCAGCTTTACAGTGTTAAACAGAAGAGTGTGTCAATAATGCAGACACAATTAAATCCTGCTGTTAAGAGGATCGTAGTAATCAGTCAGTATTTTAGTTAAAGTCAGTTCATCATTGATGAACTCAAGATGTGTCACTCGTATTGTTTTGAATGGTGAAAAATCATAGATATGTATGATGCCCCATTTGACCACTCCAAGCACGTCCGCCATCTTGGAACGTTCAATTGGATGTCATTCACTATACTATGGATTTGCAGACTATCAGCTGTGCAGGATTGTGGCATCTTCGAATATTCATTGGTTACTATGGTGAATGACGTCAAGTTGACCATTACAATAATGGCGGACAACTTACGCATAGCAGCCCATAGAAGCAGTCCCTAATGAGGCATCTATACATATCTATGGAAAAAATGCAACGCTCAATATGGCTGCTCTATCGAATGAAGCCCCGCCTTCTGAACAAAAGAGCCAACCGCTAATTGGTAAAGTCAGTTTGACACTGCAGCTGCCGTTAGAAGTCCAAGTTGCTATAAACAGTCAGCGCACTGGCTTTTTAAAAATGCTGTTTGAGCAAAATAAACAACTTTTATGAGACAGTTGTTGTCAGATTTCATTGGTGATATCAAATATGAAATTTAATCGTAAGCTTGGAGAATTTGATGTTTCAAAGAGATTTGAAAGTACTGGTTCAAAGAGATAGGAACTGCACTTGCATGCCTGAGCGGCATTTCAAAGATTTCGAGTGACATGACTTGCCTTAAAGGGACTTTGGTTTAGCTCTCTTCCAGTAGTGCCTGTGCAATCAAGTCGCCAATGATGCCAACAAATTAAGTGGCAAAAATGAATCGGATATCCCTGGAGTTTAACTGACGTGGTGTTATACTATGATGACTAGGTGTTCCCTTCATTGTTTTGAGCAGTGTAGTAAACAGCACTTCTAGGTTCTTCAGGCAAGCAGCTTTAAAATAATTATAATAGTTTTATAATAATATAATAAAGACTATTATAATTTGTGTCAAATCTGAGTTTGTCCTGATCCACTGATCCTGAGGGAAATCAAAAGAAGCCAGCATCTCCAACAATTCTTTGGAAATATTTGACACGCACACACACTCTCACTCTCACACACACACACACCCACACACACACACACACAGACACAGTCTCATTTGCTATCCTTGTGGGGACTCTCCATAGGCATAATGGTTTTTCTACTGTACAGACCGTATATTCTATTGCCCTACACCAACCCTACATCAAAACCTTCCCCTCACAGGAAACTTTCTGCATTTTTAGATTTTCAAAAAACTTCATTCTGTGTGATATATTAGCTTGTTTACCCATGGGGACCTCAATTTAGGTCCCCACCGTGACACGAGTCCCCATGAGTCTGTGTGTATTCAGGTTTAAGTCCCCACCAGAATAGAAAAACAGGTACACACACACACACAGGTTTGTTTTTGTGAAAAGTGGGGACATCCCATAGACATAATGGTTTTTATACTGTACAGACCTTATATTCTATTGCCCTACACCAACCCTACACCTAACCCTACCCCTTACAGGAAATTTTGTGCTATTTCAGATTTTCAATACACTCCATTCTGTGTGATTTATAAACGTTTTGAAAAGTGGGGACATGGGGTGATGTTCTGAAAAGTCACCTTCTCCTTGTAATACCTGTCATACCTTTGTCATTATACAAATTTATGTCCTCATTTGTCACAAAAACGCGCACACACACACAAACACAAACTCACACAAACACAAACAGACACACACACACACACACACAGCATTTTGGACTCATTTTCAGCTCAATCAGCTATTTTCTGGAGTGCATTATACTAAGATCTCCATCAACCAACTGTCCTAAGTTCATCTTCGTTATCATTTCTTAGGGCCTGTCACTTTATGCGTTTTCTCTGATCGGATATCTATCTGATTTGTTAAAACGTTTCAATTTACACTTGGCCACATACATGAGTCTTCGCTATATGCAAATTTAACAGAGTTCACGTCAATGAAAGCAACAGATATGCGCTGCATTTTATGCTATTTTATTCATCAACAGCTAATTTCAAGATCAAGGAGAGAGCGCTGGAAAGATAGGTTAGTCTCACTACTTCTAATGAAGATGATTGTGTTGAGCGTCTGCGACTTACTTTCAGTTTAATTTGTGACAGTTTGCGTGTCGGCTTGCTGAAGAGATAGGCCTACTCAGCTACTTATTCGCGGCGATGCTTCTTGCATTAGCACTGTCATATATCTGACTATAACATGCTCTCACATGTTTATTTTTTTTATATTTTGGGAGGAGTAAAATTTGCATATGTAGTTTCAACAACCAGATGCATTTACATTTGTCCAATTTCTTCTGGCACCTCCTCCTGAAGTGGTTTGAGCGATCGGATTTAAATGCATCTCGAAAGCGTTTCAGAGGGCATTTACACCTGGTCTTTTCACGATCGGATAGCTATCCAATCAGAGAAAACGTATGAAGTGACCAGGTGTAAACAGGCCCTTAATGAACAATAAAACACTGTACTGTATGTGTTTGTGTAGTGTGACACTAGCCTGTGTGGTGCACAGGGGACATCTGTAGCGTGGGTTGTGATTTGAAGCGCTCTCCCTCCAGAGTTGATACAGGAGTCAGGAAGTGATTCTGATTCCAGCCATCCTGCTCAAACACAGGAAGAAATAAACACAGCCCTGATGTGGAGCAGCTGTAGCCCTACTGTGCTGCCACTCACCTTCTTATAGATGGTGCGCAGGTCTCTGTACTGCCACAGCGTGTTCAGCACCTGAGCGGCCGCCTTCACCACCTTCATCGAGTATCTGCTGCGAACGCATGTGCAAAACATACAGAGCGGTGGAGCTGAGAACCACTGATTTAGACAAATCAAGATGGAGAAAGTATATGTGTGCACTGGTGAAATGCTACATAAAAGATGAACAAGCATCAAGGTTTATTTGTGTAGTATTCATAGCAGTCGCTTACCTTTCTGCTCTGCCCTTGGTGATGTTGACGAGTTTCTCAATGCCGCCCGCATCTGCCAGGGCTTTAGCATTCTCCATGTTTCTTCTGGTGACCTCATGCAGCGTGCAACAGATTGCCGCCACCGTATCATCTGACAGCTGTGTCGTGTTTCCCCCTGGCAAACGGTTCACCAGGTCCCGCATGGCATATTTCCCTGAGACACAACCAGCATCAATCATCACGCTCACACAATTAGGATTATCGAGCTTCTTTTCAGTCAAACTGCATGTGTAAAACTCAGGGAAGAATTATTTCCGTGGCAGCTCTGGTAATGAACAGATAAGTCTGCGCTGGATGATGATGGCATTTTGTTTACTTTTGTCCTCTTTTTAGAGCTGCTTTAAAGCAGAATTGAATTTTGTTTGTATTATTGACACTATTTTCATGTTTAAGGCTGTGACACAATCTGTGATAAGTAAATAATAAAATAAGGCTGTGTTCTTTGACACAATCTGTGTTTTATAAAGCACTATACAAGTAAAGATGATAAGGCATGAGTAAAATATTACAGGTTTATGTTGGTAACGGCACTCTCACCGATCAATTCTTTATTTCTCACGTCCAGGGCCATGTTTCTGAGTGCTGTGGCGATGGAGCGCACCACTCTGTCGTTATCCATGCGCAGTAACTCCACCAGAATGGGCAAACCTTTCTCCTTACGCACCGCTGCGCGAATATACGCTGCAAACTACAGACACATTCAGATGAACACACATTCAGAGGCAGAATTAACTTTAATTAAAATGCTTATAACTCTAATACCATATTACATTACCATATGTATATGAATGACAATTTGCAACTTGACATTTAGAAAAGAAACAACAGATTTGAGCACTTTCCCCCAAATGCATATACATAATACAGACTGAATATATCAATGAAAATGTTTGTCCAAAAAAAAATTACAAATAAAAAAATAAATATTACATGTTTTATTTTACATTTAATTTATAACTGTTTGCAAAACAAGCAACACTATAACCAAAAATTCGGACATCTAGACAGTTTTATGCTATTTAGCAATAAACATCAAAATTACATCTCTAAATGAAAATTTCTCAGAGTAAAAAAAAAACAATGTCTCACAATGTGACTTCTTAGACTTTTTATCTCATAATGTGACTTTATATCTCATTTTATATGTTTACTGCTGTTCATTTATTGTCAAAACAAGTATATGGACACAGACTGTAGAAATATATCACACAGAATTAAGTTTTTTGAAATATTTAGGGATATGCCTTTATGAAATTTTTTTTTTAAAGTTTTTTTTTACTAGCTTCTATCACAAGCCTACGAACTGTCTTAGACTGTAACACCTGGTCCTATGTGAGCTGTAGAAGTCAATTACACACCTTCCAGTGTCCTGCGGAGAGATTCTGGAGTGACCCGGCAGAGCCCTCTAGTGTGGCTGGGTTTGAGCTCTCAGCTAACAGGGTAAGATAGGGCTTCACTACAGATGGGTGCCACAACATTTCAGCACCTTTAGGAGGCTTTGAGAAACCAGGGATCGGCCCGACACCATCCCACTAAGAGAAATGAAAAACACACAGGAGTTATCAGCTGACTTAAAGAAACAGTTCAACCCCCCCACCCCCCCAAAAAAATATTATATCATTCCAAAACTGTATGACATTCTTCTGAGCAACATAAAATAAGTTTTTTTTATTTTGAGAAATATCTGTCCATATAATATAAGTCAATGGGCTTCAAAATTATTTGGTTCCCAACATTCTTTAAAATATCTTCTTTGGTGTTGCGAAAAAGAAAGAAATGCATACGGTTGTAAATGACGACAGAATTATCTTTTTTGAGTGAACTATCCCTTTAACACCAGCATATGAAGTGAGATTAAACAATCATACATAACTCTTACACTACCATTCAGAAGAATACGCCTGTACACATGAAGCACAAGCAATGTATGGTAACACTTTACTTGAAGGGGTGTGCATAAGATTGACATGACACCTTCATAATCATGACATGACACATGTCATGAATATGAAGGAGGTTTTATGCATGTTTATGACAACTGTCATTAAGTGTCATTCGCTCAGTTATGTCATTTTTAATGCAAATATGACATTATTTGACCTAACCCTAACCTAACCCTACCCCTACCCTTACCCCTAACCATAGCCCATAACAAAGACATCTCAAACAATGTCATCTTTGCATTAAAAATTACATAACTGAGCAAATTACACTTAATGACAGTTGTCATAAACATGCATACAAAACCTTCATATTCATGACATGTGTCATGTCATGATTATGTAGGTGTCATGTCATGATTATGAAGGTGTCATGTCAGTCTTATGCACACCCCTTCAAGTAAAGTGTAACCCAATGTATTTACATGCAGACAAGACAACATGATTATTCAAACACACTCACTCACACACTCACACACACACACACACACACACAAGGTCTTAGACTCCATGCTCGTTTTTAAGAAATAAATTAGTTATTCGTAGGGCCTTTATTCGTTGGCGTGATGGCGCTGATGGAGATGGCTGCCTCCGTGGCGTGCTCCGCAGTTGTTTTTATGTTTTTGTTAGTTTGTCCTGTCTTTAGTTATATCCCTGTAATCAGTTTCACCAGAGACGAATTGCTGGACATTCGGAAGTACACACCACCCGATATTTCACCGGCTTTCGACTATTCTGATGTTTTGCTGGACATTGTAGTCGGGGGAGCTGCGGCGCTGATCAAACGCTTCAGGACGCGCAGACGGGGGAAATGAGCCGGTGCGCTCATGAAGCTCAGGCAGTGCGGATTCAGAACGCCGTTGCCTAGCATCCATCTGGCGAACCTCTGCTCTCTACCCAACAAAACGGACAAGCTCCTTCTGCTCTCCCGGACAAATAAGGATTTTTCAAACTCTGCTGCTCTGTGTTTCACGGAAACCTGGCTGAAAGACGCCATTCCGGACAGCGCGTTGAGTCTCCCGGGCTGTTCAGCTGTTCAGAGCGGATCGCGACGCAGAATCAACGTGGAAATCACGCGGCGGCGGGACATGCTTTTACATCAATGAGAGGTGGTGTACAGATGTAACTGTGTTAAAGAAGATGGGCTGTTCAGATCTAGAAGTGTTCTTTACTAACTGTAAGCCTTTCTACTCGCCACGGGAGTTTTGCTCATTCATTCTCGTCAGTTTCTACATTCCTCCGCAAGCGCACGTGAGCTCAGCTTTACAGAAACTCACTGATCAGATCCCAGACACAGAACAAGAAAACCCGGACTCTGTTTTAATAATTGTCGGGGACTTTAATAAAGCAAATCTCTCCCATGAACTGCCAAAATACAGACAGCACATCACATGTCCCACCAGAGACAATAATATATTGGATCACTGTTACACCACAATAAAGGATGCATAATGCTCCATCCCACGGGCAGCTTTAGATCACTGTTTGGTTCATCTTATACCGACCTACAGGCAGAAACTGAAATCAGCTAAACCTGTATTAAGGACTGTTAAAAGATGGACTAATGAAGCAGAACAGGATTTACAAGCTTGTTTTGACCTCACTGATTGGAGTGTTTTTGAAACTGCTGCCACCGATCTGGACGAGCTCACAGAGACTGTAACTTCATATATCAGTTTTGTGAAGATATGTGCATTCCTACCAGGACTCATCTAACTTACAGCAACGACAAACCATGGTTCACTGCAAAACTCAAACAGCTCCATCAGGCCAAAGAAGATGCTCTCTTCAGTTTGTCTACAGAGCAAACAGGTCTGTGGACGATGCAGTCAACATGGGACTGCATTATGTTCTGCAACATCTAGACAGACCAGGGACTTATGTGAGGATCCTGTTCGTGGACTTCAGCTCGGCCTTTAACACTATCATCCCAAACCTCCTCCTGCCCAAACTAACTCAGCTTTCAGTGCCCACCTCTGTCTGTCAGTGGATCAACAGCTTCCTGACAGACAGACAGCAGCTAGTGAGGCTGGGAAAATACACATCCAGCACCCGTACGATCAGCACTGGAGCTCCTCAGTGTTGTCTTCTCTCCCCACTGCTCTTCTCCCTGTACACCAATGACTGCACCTCTAAAGACTAGGGATGGGTACCGAAACTCTGTATTTAATCGGTCTCGGTGCTAAATTATGAAAGACCGGAGTATCAATAAGCTCTGACATTAACGGTTCTGCTATCGGTACTGGAGAAATTAAGAAAACACACATACATTTATTTTTGCTATATATACATTATCTTGCAAATTCTCTCACACCAGAGTCGCCAGCTGTTTTTCAAATATTTTTCTATGATGCATTTTTGCTATTTGCAAATTCAGAAGCGAGATCGCGCCCACGCAGAGGAGCTTCAGCACGCGCAACAAGAAAGCCCTGTTTAATTATGATAGAAGAGAGAACTAAACATTCAAACATCTGCTTACACTTCATTCAGGACGGTGACGAGTCTGCTTACAGACAGGAGGTTAAAGAGCTGGCTGTCTGGTGCAGTCTCAACAACCTGGAGCTCAACACGCTCAAAACTGTGGAGATGACCGTGGACTTCAGGAGGAACCCCCCCTGCTCTCCCTCCACTCACCATTATGGACAGCACTGTGACTGCAGTTGAGTCATTCAGGTTCCTGGACACCATTTTGGTACTATTTTGATACTGTAAAGGAGTTACTTTAAAGTGCTGTTAAACCCTCTTTGGTGATGTAATGGCATTAGCCTCACCTGTTCTTCGAGTAAATTCTTCTTTTTTCTCCTCTTCCTCCCCCAGCAGCTGTAATCTGCATCTTTTCTGGGTGACTCTGACCCCATTAACCTATCAAGCTCCTGATTGGCTGTCAGCCAGGAGGGTGACATTTCCAGCTCCAGCCGATAGGAGAGATTCCTCAGGATGCAAACACAGTTTTCCACAATCTGAGAGAGAAACTGCCTTCACTGACTGAACATGATTGTGTGATGAAGCGTGAGTTTGTGTGATTGTGTGTGTGTGTTTAAGGGGTTCTGGTGCATACCTTGCTGTCAAAATCAGAGGTGCTGACACAGGCTTTGATGATGTACAGTAGTGAGTCCACGAGTCCCTCACAGGAGCGCATATATTTTCTGGCTTCTTCTCCAGCTGAACTCAGGTTCCTGTAGCAACACAAAAATCACTGCACAGTCATTCACAAACAGAATTACAGCTTGATTTGATTTATTAGAAGACAGTTTAATTTTGAGGTAATGGAAAAACACATTAATATCAACACAATTTAAGCAATAAGTTAACACAGGTTGTTCATATAATCACAGATAAAGGGTGTTTTTAGGCATGGTGCACAGTACAGTGAATAAATTCCCAAAATAGAACAATCTCTTGTGCATTATAAACCCTTATGAACCACTTACTTCATAAAAATGGGAAAACGAATTTTCATAGAAATTTTCATAATTTCGTCATCACTGTACGCAGACCACCCAATTTTTGTACCCACACATGCTTTTTACACGCAGGTCGCACATGCAAGTTATTTAGCAGTAATCAGTTGTTCCACACAGTGGCAACACTGTCCCAGGCTGTTGTTTCCAGTTTTGGTTCCTTGCTGCTGTCGCCTCCGGCTTGCTTAGTTGGGGACACTTAATTTCCAGCGATATCGTCGACTTGATTGCACAGATACTATTTAATCTGAACTGAGCTGGATGATGACATCACTGAATTAAATGATGAACTGAAATTTGAGTGTTTACTATTGTCCTTTTGCATTGACACACTATTTTCCTATTAATACTGTAAAGCTGTTTTGACAATCTGTATTGTTAAAATCGCTATATAAATAAAGGTGACTTGACTTGACGTTCACAGTAGAAAACGAAACTAAAGAGACAGAACAACAACCACAAAATAGCGGAGAGCGCAGCAACAACAGACACTCATTGACAAGTGCTTATGAGACAGCTCAGCTTTGGTTTAAATGAGTGCAAACATATTTGGTCATAACTTAATCTGTAATCCCCCCTGGGGAAAAATAGAGCAGACACTGGGCATGGATGAAGCTTTCTAGAGTGCATGTGTCGACCATCCGTGTTCACGTACAACATCAAATAGAGTATACTTCAAAAGACTGTGCATTCGACTGTACACATACACTAGCGTAAGTGTAAAAAAAACGCTTAAGGGCTTAAGGCTAAAACTATAACCGACACAAGCGAGCCGACATCGGAGCTCGCAATGAACCTGAGATCGAGGAGGACACCAGCTTCAGGAGTCTCTTCCTCTGAAATGTGCGATTCACCACTTAGGCATCATGCTCTGCCCCCTGCGCAATGCCCATTCAACAACCACATGACCTGACACAAGAGGCCTTTCACAAACAAGGGCCAAGGCCTTCTCAAAAAGGGATCCCAACACACCAGAGCTACTGAAATACAACATCCAAAATGCCAAGCTGAAGGCACAGTGTTACTAAAATGCAAGGTCCGTCTATAGAAAGCCACAAGAGCTTCCAATCAGCAGAGAACAAAACAATCACCATGGTAACAGACCAACTACTGGGAGAAGTCCTGGAAGAGACCAAATTCTCCTGGGAAAACGACTTGGAAACCTTACATGATGTCTAACAGTGGTCAACAGCAATATTATCTTCACACAGGTACAAGTCAGAGGCTGCACAAAGAATATATTGTTTTATGTGAATGAGTGTGCAGGATGATTTTCATATCTTAAAAACTAATCTACCACATCCAGTACTCAAAAGACTTTTCTGACCTTATTTCAGTGACTTAAAAAACACACACACACACACACACTTAAATATATGTATATCTTTTTTTTAACCATGCATAACCCTACTTTCTCAAAAATATGAAAGGCAATGAAAGACAAATTTTATATTATTATGAATAATGAAATAAATGGACAAATACATGAATCTTTTTACAAGGTCATAATATAATGTGCCCACACAGACAACATTTGTGATGTGAGTGAAGGACGACATTTGAAACAACGTGCCCTTGCAAGTGATGCACTTCTGCAAAATCTCTCAGGGAACACAGAGGGAGACAGCATGTACGTTAGCTGCTGACAAAAGGTTCCAGTGGAATAACTTGTGGATCATTGCTGAAATCATGGAAAATCAGGTGAGCAGCTTGCAAAAAAAAGAAGAAAAAAAAAAGAATCCAAAGCTGCAATATCCAAACTCATGGTCCCACGTGCCTAGCATTTAGCAAAATCCAAATGTTTCCATATTGACAATGTAATGCTTATTTGCTAAACTATTAATTTATTATATAAACAAGGATTTGTATTTCACTTGCCTCCCAACATTCATGTACTTCCCATGCTTTGGAATATAAGTCAAAGCATGTCTCAGATGATTAAAAAAAGTGACATTCTGGAAAATATGATAAATCATATGCTGTTCTGGGAATATGCATATACATGCTAGGGTGGTTTGTCCACGAATTAAAAGGAGGAAAAATGCTTATGTGGCCACCCATTCCCTTGGCATCTCTTTGATATCCCAGGGAAGGTGTCACTAGCCTCCTGGCTAATGTCAGAAGCAGCAAAACACTGAGATTAGGCTCTGATCCTAAAGACCAGTGGTTCTTAATCTTGGTCCTCACAACCCCCCGCTCTGCATATTTGGCATTTTGCTTGTCACTTTTATTTAACACACCTGATTCAAATCATCAGTTCGTTAGAAGAGAGCTCCATGAATGAACTCTGTTCCAATTGATCCCTACACAGTGTTCACTGCTCTCTACTCCCTGCACACAGGAATTCGACTGAAGTTTACTTCACTCAAGAACACGGATTTGTGCTACTCAACTGCCTGCAGCGCATTCACACACGGACAAGACTTACTACAGAAGTGTGAAGGGTTATTTAACTGTAATCATGAGATTTGCATAGTAGTTATGTCTCGTGCATGAATCATGGCGGAATATCCTGTGATGTGAACTTCGCAGGGCACCGCTGCTATAGAACCATCAGAGCTGCGAGCTGCAAATTTAGTTTGGGCCCTTCTTTTGATGTTACAATTTAATCAAATTGTAACATCAAAAGAAGGGCCCAAACAATCATCTGTGAGGGAGAGGGTTTACAACTCCCAGCTGGCATGATCCACGGAGTTATTCTGCCAGACAATATAATAGAGAGTTGTGTGCCTTTCCAAATCAAGTCCAACAGATTGAATCTGTCACAGGTTAACTCCTACCAACTTCAAGATGATTCAGATAAATGAAAATGCTCCTGAACTGGAAACGGTCCAAGTACATAACCTGTATGGACTACATTTATGATGCTTTGGCTTTCATGCTGATATGCTGTCATGCTTTTTTTTTTGTTTTGTTGTAATTTTGGAACTTGAAAGCCTCTGATCCTCGTTCACTTTCATGATGGATACAGTTGTTGAAACATAGTTGTGTGTATATATAAATAAACTGTAAGAATTGGAAAAGGGGTCTCCTTTTCTAATCCTAAATCTCATCAGATCTACAGTACATGTTTTTTTTATTGATAATAAAATAAACTAAATTATAATTTTTTTTAACTTCCCACTTTATTCCCCTTCATCAGTTCAGATAAACCAATCATTTAGTGAATGTGAATTATGTGACATTTATTAATAATGGTTTGTGAATATGAATTAAAGCTATCCTGACTCCACACTTCTGGTCCATGAAGCGGTGCAGTGATGTGCTGCTGTTACCTCAGACAGCCGGTGGTGTTGCGGAGCACGACAGAGGAGTGCAGCTTGAGTTTGTGCTCATCGTGAAAGTCAGTGCTGCTCCAGCCCGAGTGAGGGATGATCACAGTGTGGGTCACGCTGCTTAAGGCATCGCGGATGATTGTCATCTTCACTGCATCACACGAAGACAGATTCCACAACACACCTACACACAGAAAGCAGTTCACATGCATGATTATTTCTGGACAATCATACGCTAACCTGTCTATCGATAATCTGCCTCGCAATAAATTGTAGTTACTGTGGTCGACACAAAATTGACAACAGGTCTTTGTGGAAAAACAAAACAAAACACTGTCTGAAATCTGTCCCGTTTCTCTCCTGTAATTGTCTGAACATTCAAGATCCCAAATGAGAAAGACAAATGGTGACAGTGGCGAGGAGCAAAATCTCTATCAGGAAGTAGTGGAGAAAAAAAAGCTATATCTATATAAATATAGCTATATCAGATACTGTCACTCTTCATGTTTGCTGGACAACAGGTGATCAACAGAGGAAAGCGCAATATTATACACTAAAGTCTAATATTACTATGTAATTGTAGCAAATTAGCTCAAAGGGAAATATGAACAATTAATTATTACTGGTTACAGCTGTATGAATTAAACTTGATGTAGCAGAATTGATATTACAATGAACTAGTTTGTCTAGCAAACGGTGTTTTGTCTATCAATTCTCAGAAAGGTTATTTTTGTGGCTACAGAAAATCACTTATTCTCACTGTATACAGTGCTGGCGAATGAGAGCAGATTCACACTGAGCACATGTGACAGACATGAAAGTGTCTGGAGACGACGTGGGAAATGTTATGCAACATCATCCAGCATGACCATAACCGGGATCCATTGTCAGACCATACACTGGTGCAGTGGGTACTGGCTTTGACATTGCTCGGCCTCAAGTGGCCAGAGTATGTAGGGAGTTTCCGCATGATGAAGGCATTGATGCCATTGACTGGCCCTCACATTCCTCAGACCTGAATCAAGCTGAGAAACTCTCTGCCAAGTAGCACCGCACACTGTCCAGGAGCTTGCTTATGCCTTGATCCAGGTGTGGCAGGAGATCCCCAGGACACCATCTGCTGTCTCATCAGGAGCATGCACAGACATTGTCGGGAGTGCATGCAAACATGAGTTGCTGTGATGGAATTCTTGCAAAGTTGTACAAGCCTCTAATTAAATTTTTTTCTTTGATTTTCAATGTGATTTTGAATCCAGCCCTCAATGGGTTGAAGACCATTGACATCATTTTAATCTTAATGCATTACACAATGTATACAAGTAAATATTTTCAACTTGAACATTTTGTTAATCAAGATCCAAGGATTTAAGTGTTTCCGTAATTTTTATGAGCAGTGTATTTTCCACTCCCAGGATAGTTTAGAAAGTAGTCACCTATAACTTATACAGAGGTCACACCTCTCCTGTTTGTCTTGACCAATGAAAAAGGTGTAATTTCAAATGGGAAGAGTTTTTTGTTTGGAAGATGACTCGTTTGGATGATCAGAATGGACTGGCATTTTTGTGTCCCTTCATATTCTGATTAATATCTCAAGCATACAATGCACGTTATGAGGTGATTTACACCAATGCATAGGGAATTAATCGAGGATTATTTTGACATGAAACCAGTGAAGTTACATTGTCTAATAATTCTATCTTAAAGGCACAATATGTAAGATTTTTTTATTAAAATACCCCAAAACCACTAGAACAGTGTTATATATATTTGCTGACTTGTGTACTTACATTATCCCAAATGTTTCGAAGAATGTTTAAATCCAGAGATGTAAGCAATTTTAACTAATGACACGGACCGTGTCCATAGTGTCATTGTGTCGCCTGCCAATGACATCATAACCCCTCGATTTCCGGTTTTGTTTTGTAGAAAACATGGAAACACCAAAGACGCTTTAATATGTTGTGTGTTTTATTAGACAGGTGAGTAGCCCACAGATAGTAGCATTATAACAGAACTTTCAAATGTATCTAGTATGATAAAACAGCGTTGCTTTTTTTTCACCACATACGCACGACCGGAAGCAGCGGAAGCGGTCGACTGTGGCATAATAAAAGCTCCGCTGCTTTCGAGCCGTGTGTCGCACTCATTTTGCTTCGACGGCTTTCAGCCTCACCCTGCTTCATTTTACTACGTTAAAAAATCATTAGCTCATCTATGAACATGACTTCTGCCCGAGTCCCGTCGGATTGCATCGGCTGTGGGGATGAAGATGACAACTCCCATGATTCCACACTCAGTCACGGCGTCATCAAACTACGGCTTTGTCTCTTTGTTTGTTTTGAATATGCACCCTCTAGCGGCGAAAATTACATATTGTGCCTTTAAGGCATGCATGCATGAAATGAGCGCAAATCAAATAGCCATGTTGCTGTCTCAGTGTGTCTTTCCAAGCTTGCCAAGAGTAATTTGGAGTAATATCAACTAAGATTCTAAATTTCTATGACCTGATGTCTATTTAAATCTTTTAAACCTTGTATATGATAAACAATATGTTTGTCAGTCTCATGCTTAATAAAATTGGGCTCAAATTCTGTGATCAGATCACTAAAATAAATTTCTTTGATTGCTTTCCGTATGCAATTTAAGCACAATTAAAGAATCAATTGTTTTTCATGCTACTAAAAGAATCAATGCACATATGACTGTTCAGTCCATGGCTTGAGCTTGCAGATGCTTTAAACATGATTTTGAGAATGGCCAACACCACCGCATACATATCAAATATCACATATCAGTCCTTACATATCAAAACAATAATTTATCACAGAGCAGGCTTGACAATGAACATGGTTATTTACAGGTAGCAGAATTATTACTACATCCATGTTTCACTAAAAGCATGTTTGCACAGTTTGTGTCCAATTGTGACAAACAGTTATTCCCTTCTGACATGATCTGGCACTTCATTGAAAATAAAAACTATAAAAACAAATAAATGTTGTTTTTTGACTAACATGGAAGTTTTAAGTTCTGAAACTTCCAGTATGTTTTTCTCTTACAGTATACACTACAAGGACAAAAAGTTTGGGATACACCACTTAATTACTGAATTCAGGTGCTTCAATCAGACCCATTGCCACAGGCATATAAAGTCAAGCACCTAGCCATGCAGTGTGCATTTACAAACATTGGCGGGGGTGGGATAAATAAATAAGTCATTCTGCAGAGGTCAGTGAATTTGAATGTGGTACTGTGACAGGATGAATGAATTCCTGAATGAACCAGCAATTTCAACAAATCAGCTGAATAAATGACACATGCCATTTGAAACATTAAGACTGTGATCTGTGGTGACTTGCCACCACCAACTGGCGGTTTTAGTTTTAGTAGAAGCGTGAGTTAAATAATCCAATCGTTAGGCTAACGTGATGCTCTCATAGAGCAACAACATGTAAATTTATATAACATGTTATGCATTTTCTACAGATACATTCAGGGAAATGTCTGTGTATGGATAGAATGCATACTGTACATAAAAGAGATAAGCTATACACACACGTATTTAACAACAGACTGGCTGACCTGTGACAAGCTCTCGTACTTCAGTGTCCACTGTTGTTTTCAGCAGGCGAAGCAGTGCAGGAACTCCACCTGCGTTTATTACGGCAATCTTGTTGTCATCTGTAGCTCTGCCATAAACGAGGTTCCTCAGGGCTCCGCATGCATACCGCTGCACCTCCAGAACCTTATGATCCAACAAATCCACCAGGTGTTTTATTCCACCCAGACGACACACCTTCAAAACACAAGAGATTTTCATGTTATCCAGGGGTTGCTCAAACAATCTGCATTAAAGGTGAGGTATTTCATTTCTGTTCCTACTTCGTGACAAAAATGCAATTGCAATGCAAAGAGGTTTACCAAACATTTCCTTTTGTCTGCCACTGTTCTGTATTGCGAACCCTTTCATCGCTCACACTAGTTACAGGTTTTTTGTCATCTTGATATAACCAATTATATGCAAGCTCACTGTAAACATAACATTAATGACAAAAATACTATAACATCAGAGTCACCAGCATTAAAGGACACTTGTACTACACGCTCACTCTGGAAGGTGAAGCGCATCATAAAGGACTGCTGTCACCTTGCCAAGCACTTTTTTCTTTTCTGCCTGTTGGTAAGTGGCTCAGGACTATTCAAACTCACACTAATAGATTTATGGATGGTTTCTAGCCTATCATTATTAGAATGTTCAAAACATGTACAAGTAATGTGTAATATACTGGACTCTTTACGTGGTCATTTTGCAACCTAATTTTGCCTAATTACTGCCACTTTATTGGGTGGCAATTATTATTTTGATTAGGCATGTCAAGCCAAGTCACCTCATTTCAGTAGCACTTTATACAATACAGCCTGCGTCAAAGCAGCTTCACGATGATGAACAGGAAAAGAGCAGAATCAATTATGGAGAGTTCAGATTCTGCTGTAAAGCAGCTCTACAAGACAATAGTGTCATTATTTAGCTCAAGTCAGTTCAGAAAGGGCTGTGCAACAAATCTTTTTTTTTAAAGATTTATTTTTGGTGTTTTGCCTTTATAATGATATGACATTGGAGAGCAGACAGAAAGAAAAGTGGGAGAGGGAGTGCAGGATCGGGAAAGGATTTGAGAATCCTCGAGCTAGGATTCGAACTCAGGATGCTTGTAATGCAACAGAGTTGCATGTCGGCAAACTTGCCCACTAGGCTATCATCTCAGGTGACAAATCATATTTTAATCGTGATCAGGATTTCTGCTTCTGTCCATTTAAGCATCATCTGCAACTGAAAAAAAATGGACTTTAACTGAAAAAAATACCTCTTTTTAGAGCTGCTTACAGCAGAATTTAACTTTTGTTTGCATTATTGAAACACTATTTTCCTGTCTGACACTGTAAAGCTGCTTTGACACAATCTTGTATAAAGCACTATACAAATAAAGGTGACTTGACTTGCAATATTTGCCTGCTGGTAACTTATCCTGAAACAAATTTTTCTTTTAAATCAACACATTTTCTGCCCATTGGTTTACTTAAAAATGTTTTTATTATTATTATGAACAGACAGTTGCTAGACACTATGCTACATAAGACACCTACACAAAACAAAAAAAATATACAGTTCCCCTGGTTACTGCTATAAACACAGCAGCTGCACTTATGAACACTAATTTAATATGCATTATACGGAGGTAAGATGAAAAGAAAATGCCATCTAAACATTTGAAGATGATACATTCCTCTCAGAGATTCATTCTTATAAACCCCCACATATTTGTCTTCCTACAGTGAGCTTGATCTGCCTTATACAGTATTTTCTTCTCTTTACAGACTTCATTTTGGGAAATGATTGCAATGCAGTTTCTGTGCAATTCCGGAATAGAGATCGGCCAAAATAAAACTAAATACCGGTTTCCGATTTATAGCTGGTGGCTTGATGCATCTGTAGATCCCAAAACTTCTTGCCATTCTTGTTTTGGGTTGGTGTGTAGATCGTCTCTTCTGCTCTTTCCTGTTTGTGGCTTGATCGAATTGTGGATTGATTGCCTATGACTGACTGTATTCATCGTCTGACTGCATGAACCGAACCGTGATGGTTTGAGATAAATACATGTATTGTTACACCTAGGGATGTGCCTGAAGCTGAATACTATGTTTGGAAAGGAAATAACCATAGAAAAAATATGAGATGATTTTACATTCTCTTGCAATTACACAGTTGGGTAATTATATTGTATATAATTAGTGGGCATCGGGGAGTCACGTATTCAAATAGCTTTTAAATGCGCGCTTGTGTTTCAATTTAACTTTCGAATTCGCAGTCACAAATAGTATGTGTATCGGGAGCAGCGCTACTGAATTTTCAAGTTAAGACATTTGACACTCAGAATCTGTTGCACACCAAATCCTCTGATATCGTCCTGTCAGTCAATCTTCACGTGATAAGTGACATCTGATGTACTGTAATGTGACCAACTACTGCAGCAAGCCTAACCATGTCCTTGTAAGGGGCTCCGTAGAATGACTACATTTTCCGTGCCTTTCCAAATTCGGATTTAGGCTTTGGGTACATCCCTAGTTACACCTCTACTTCCTCTACATTTCAGATAAAGCGTTGACAAGCTAAAAAAAATGAATTACTGTAATTAAAAATAAACCGGGTTATTGTTATTGATTGATTGAGCAAAATAACAGTGACTAACCATTTAACCATTTCTTAATTTACTTAAAACTGTCTCACAGACATAGAAAATTGAACATTCTTTACCTCGGTCTTGACGTGGTTGTCTCTGTAGCACAGGTGTTGCAGGTATGCCACTGCATTAGCCTGCACAGACGGAAACTGATGCTGTAGCATGTGGATGACCTCCGGCAGGTCTGGGTCATGCCATGCAAACTCTCTACAAAAACACACATTAACCCAATGATAACATTCCCATGCTAGTTTATAGATTATAACACACACGCACGCAAGCGTGCACACACAGTGCAGTAATAGGGGGTGTTAATGTGAATGCAGATGTAACAGGTGTTGATCCAGAACTATGTAAAAATGGCTGAGTTCTACTAATTACCATCAGTTATGTCATCTACCTTGGGTCCTTCTGCATGCTGTCTACCGAAGGGGAGTGTGTGGCATCATCATCCATGGGCTGGCGTGAGTAGCTGGGATCAGGGGACCAGTAAGGGGTAGATTGGTATGCTTCTGTGTATATGGTGTTTAAAGCGTAGTTATTTCTTTGGTACATCATGTTACTGCGCTGACTGGAGCTCTGCTGCAGGTTACTCATACCTGAAACACAGCAACCACAGCACATGTTAATTAGAACCTTTCATTTCTCTTTTAAACCTTGGAATCTTTGGCTTAAAGAGATGATCCAGGTTAAATCAAAATCAAGCTCTATAAATTAGTCTCTATCAAGAGTGTCTGTTGCAGTCTTTACAAAATAACTTTTTTCCATAATTTTCCTTAATCCTTGACCAACTGCTTTGTTTTATATTCATCCTTCAAATCATCTTCATAAACTATATATCATTTGAAAGCTGCAGACCTTAAGTTTTGACCCCTTAAAGGGGTGGTTGATTACGATTTCACTTTTTTAACATTAGTTAGTGTGTAATGTTGCTGTTTGAGCATAACAGGTTCTGCGCGATCCTCTTTACTAATAATCTCTGCTTCTCACTCGGGCTCAAATTGATAAGCAATATAGATGACACCATTGTTTACAATACAACCGGAGCACATTTTGAGGAGAGGGGCGTGACGCTTAGATGTGCACTAGAGGCGGTTTAGCCAATCACATCACACTGGGCTAGCTAACCAATCAGAGCCCATCGCATATTTCTGAGGGAGGGGCTTTATAAAACCAGGAAATCATCAGCGCGTTTATAGGAGAAGGGACAGAGTGGTGTGGAATAAAGGTAAATTGTGTGGAAAATAATGAGTTTTTTTAAAAACGAAGAATCAACACATGTTAGACTGCACCCCATAAACACAATCAAGCCTAGAAAAAAAAAAGCAGTCAACCACCCCTTTAAGCCTGAGACATCATTTTTCTTGTCTCATTGCAACTGAATAGTCTCCAGCCAAGGAATCAGAGGACAACAAAATATAGTTTTTCTTTTTTTCAAAATTTATTAGCATAAACCTGAGTACAACTTTGGGCAGTTGGTGGCGCTAGAGGGTTTGATTCTTTTTGCTCTGGTTAATGTTAAGACTTTGTGTTGAAATGTTTTGCCACTTTTTTATTTTTTTTACAATGATCTTATCTTTTCATTGCTATAAAAAATATATAGAAGGCAGACAGACTGCGAGTGCCTCATTACTTGATTTGCATTTGCCGATTTGATTACACTTTTCTCTGATGATCATTAATTAGCACATCAAGATGATTTTGTTTAGCCTGAAGCCCAATAAAAGCTCAAATGAAGGGGTTGAAAATATGTGTTGCCATATCAAGGTGTATTTTGTGAAATTCTATGTGCATTTAAGCGTGTTTTGAATGTTCTGTTGCACAATAACTGAAGCTGAGTTTTCATGGAAATAGTGTAGGCCTAATGAAAATCAAATATACTTTTTGAGTTATTAAATTTTTTTAGGAAGGTTTGCCAAGTGACTTCAAAAACAAGACACGTTTTAAAAATTAATAATTTTAATTTAATACATTTAAATTACTAAAATAAATGTTAAAAAGTGCAAGCTGAACGTCACCCTGAAACATAACTGTTACTTATCGGACTACTGCTTTGAGACATTTATTCAAGAATTTCATAATAAACAGGAAAAAAAAACAATTAGGCCTACTGGAGAAATGCGGCAGAGCGTGATCTGGGCAGGATTTGGTTTACTGGTGAGCATGAGCGGAACATTAGCGGAGCGTTTGCTTTGGCTGTGAGCAACTGAGTGGAGCGCACTCCCACAAAGCAGGAATATTGAGCTGAGCGTCACACCACTCTGCTTCGCTCACATGCTCTGATGTGCTGGCGTATCACAGCATCAGGCAGAAGTGGGCTATGAGACATCTATGTATTTATGTCTAGGGTTTGAGAAATTTATTTCAAGTTTTGAGGTCTATACTAATTAGCTACTCAGTTAAATCAGGTGTGTTTGATTAAACAGGCATACAAAGTGTGCAGTGTTTGGAAGTGAAAACTGATGCTTTCAAAAAATGTGCTGTTTTGGGAGTACAAGTAGATACTTTTATAATTAGAATACTTTTTGTAAAAGAAACTACAATTTTCAGCTGTGGCGAATATCCCGAGTCCAGATTAGCGTCGCCCTGGAAACGCCGCTGCCACACTGATCACCGACGCACAACACCTGTGAGTGGCGCACCTGGAGCTCGTTCCCGCTGGCCTTAAAAGCCAGGAGAAGAGACACCAGGAGGAAAGCACCCCGGAGCTCCAGGCGACATTAACAATTGTTTCTCCTTGTTCACAGACTCTGAAGGCACCCTGGGAGAGGGATCTGCACCACGGCACTTCACCCCACGAGCACCACGCTGAGACGGGCACCGAGCACCGAGCACCATTCATCAGGGCACGTGTGATCAGTGTGCGGGCTAATAAATCACCCTCCGGGGCTCTTTCGACCAGTACCGAGTCTGTGTTCTCATTCACCCCGCGACACAGCAAATTCAAGTGATGAACTAGACCAGTGTTTCCCAACCGGGGTGCTGTCTGTCGAGAGCAGGGGTGCCGTGTAAAAAAAAATCATTTTTTAAAAATATTTTTAAAATGTTCAAAAAAGCATCTATTATATAATATCCATTTCCGATGTCGCCAATAATTATAGATGCACCGAAATTTCAGCTGCCAAAAATTAGTTCACCGCTCAGGATTCACTTTCACGCGGTATGACCATAGACTGTATAAGGGTATGACGCTCTGCGTATTATCCCGCTCTATGCATGTGCGCTCCGCTCAGTCGCATTATCTATACTTTTCAAATGATCATATCGAAGTTAGAAATTCAAATATTGTGACAAAATTAATTTTGTAGGGTGCCACAAGTTTGTTAAAATTTCTAAAGGGTGCCGCGACTAAAAAAATGTTGGGAAACACTGAACTAGACTACAGTATGGACTATTTTCAACATTTTAAATAAATATTATTCATAAAATGATACATACAATTAATTACATTAGATGTTATACACAGTTGTTTTTAAATTTTATTTTTATACAGTTCAAATAAAGCAGCAGAAGAAAAAAAGATTTTCATACCAAAAGACGACCTGTAGAGTGCACTCTGTGGACTGTGGTTCAGGTCTGAAGCTGTCTGGCTGAGGCTGTGGTAGAGGGGTCCCTGGAAAGTCCGGCCCTCATAAATAGGTCCTATATGGCGGTCAGGGGAAGTGGCTGACCTCAGATCAGCACCTATCTGACTGTGTTGACTAGTGTAAGATGCTCGCACACCTAATGATGACAATACAATACAAACAGTTAGAGAGACCACCACTCATATACTCAACTGACATACACTTATTAAACTGTATATACTATATATATATATATATTTACACTTAGTACTGGTCTGCTTATCTCTAATGATTGGAAATGTATTCCTTTACCTTCTCTGGGTATTAACAGCTCCTTTGAATCACATTCAGTCACTATTACCCACCCTTTTAAAATACATTTTGTAGTTGTTTATCGACCCCCAGGACCACAAAGTCGCTTCTTGGATGAATTAGATGTGCTGCTCTCAACCTGAACATCTCAACCGGAGAATGGTACCTAGTTATGCTTGGAGACTTCAACATCCACCTAGATAAACCTCAGCCTGCAGACGTCCACACTCTGCTTGCTTCTTTTGATCTCAAGCGAGTATTAACTACGGCTACTCACAAATCAGGCAACCAACTGGACCTTATTTACACACAACACTGCTCCACTGATCATGCACTGGTTACTCCCACTGCACAACTTGGATCACTTCCTCCTCACTCTTATCCTCAACATGGTTCCTGACACAACACATACCCCTCCACATGTCAAAGTCATATACACCTAGGATGCATCGAGGTGAGTAAAACGCAGCCAAATTTTCATTTTTGGGTGAACTAACCCTTTAATGTGTATCAGTCACTCCTCTCTTCCTTCTCTGCTAATGTCTCCACTGCTAAAAGGACATACTATCATAACAAAATTAACAATTCGTCTAACTCTCGCATACTCTTTAAAACATTTTCCTCCCTCCTTTGTCCTCCTCCTCCCCCTCTTCATCAACTCTAACAGCTGACGACTTAATCACGTTCTTCATTAATAATAATAATAACAGATTGTGGTATGGAAAATTGTGCACTGATGGTACCATCAGTGCACAATTTTCCATACCACAATCTGTCAAGCACATCTTACCAGCAAACACACAAACAGTAAGATTGAAAGTCCAGGTCTGGGACAAAAGTAACCAATACAATCTAAACTAATGTTCAAGTTTGAAGTTACTAAAGAAATCAATACATTTGTTCAGCAAGAATGTATTAAATTGATCGAAAGTCTCCATTAAAACATTTATTCTGTTACAATAGACTTCTATTTCAAATAATGTTTGAATGTTTGACACAAACTGTCAAACACATCTTACCAGCAAACATACCCTCGTTTTCATCCTTCTCTTCACTCTCTGAGGCAGAAGTCTCCAAACTCATCCTTTCTAATCATCCTACTACTTGTCCGCTTGATCCTATTCCAGCTCATCTCCTTCAAGCCATTTCTCCTGCCGTTGTACCTGCACTCACTCACATCGTTAACACATCCCTTCACACTGGTGTTTTTCCCTCAGCATTTAGACAGGCTCGTATAACCCCACTACTTAAGAAACCCACCCTTAACCCATCTCTTTTAGAGAACTACAGACCGGTTTCCCTTCTTCCTTTCTTTGCAAAAACACTGAACGAGCTGCATTCAACCAAGTCTCTGCCTTTCGTACACAGAACAACCTCCTCAACAGCAACCAGTCTGGTTTCAGAAGTGGACATTCAACTGAGACTGCCTTGCTCTCAGTTGTTGAAGCCCTAAGACTGGCAAGAGCGGATTCCAAATCTTCCAATACTTATCTTGCTAGATCTGTCCGCTGCTTTTGACACGGTTAACCACCAGATCCTCCTGTCAACCCTATTGGCAAAGGGCATCTCAGGAACCACACTCCAGTGGTTTGAGTCTTACCTCTCAGATAGGTCCTTCAAAGTATCTTGGAGAGGTGAGGTGACCAAGTCGCAACATCTAACTACTGGGGTGCCTCAGGGCTCAGTTCTTGGACCACTTATTTTCTCTGTCTACATGGCATCACTAGGTTCTGTCATTCAGAAACATGGCTTTTCATATCACTGCTATGCTGATGACAATCAACTCTACCTCTCACTCCATCCTGATGATCCTACGATAGCTGCTCGCATCTCAGCTTGAAGGACCATCACCTTCAACTCAAACTTGCCAAGACAGAACTTCTTGTGGTTCCATCAAACCCATCGTTTCATCACAACTTCACCATCCAGTTAGGCACATCAACCATAACTCCTTCAAAAATAGCCAGAAACCTTGGAGTTATGATTGATGATCAGCTGACTTTCTCAGACCACATTGCTAAACCTGCCCGGTCCTGCAGATTTGCTTTATTCAACATGAAGAAGATCAGGCTCTTTCTTTCGGAACATGCTTCACAACTTCTTGTTCAAGCTCTTGTTCTGTCCAGGCTGGACTATTGCAATGCTCTCTTGGCAGGTCTTCCAGCCAGTTCGATCAAACCTTTACAATTAATCCAGAACGTGGCAACAAGATACATTTTTAATGAGCCAAAAAGAATGCACGCCACACCTCTGTTTATCAATTTGGCTACCAATAGCTGCTCGCATAAAATTCAAGGCATTAATGTTTTCCTACAAAACCACCACTGGCTCTGCACCCCTTTACCTAAATTCATTACTTCAGACTTATGTGCCTCTAGAAGCTTGCGTTCTGCAAGTGAACATCGCTTTATTGTGCCATCCCAAAGAGGCACAAAATCGCTTTCACAGACTTTTCAATTAAATGTTCCCTCCTAGTGGAATGACCTACCCAACTCAATCCGAGTCCTTAGCCATCTTCAAGAATCGGCTAAAACACATCTCTTCCATCTTTATTTGGCCCTCTAACTCTAACATTCTCTATTCTAATTCTATTCTTAATAAAAACGTGTCCCTTTTAGACTTGCACTCTATTCATTTACTACTTGTTTTCTTAAAGAAAAAAAAACAACCTAACACTAGCTTTTCTAATCTTTTTGTATTCTATCTATTTGTTTTCTTTTTATTTATTATATAATTAACAAAAGCAAAAAGGCCTCTAACACTAGCTTGCTCTATTCTGGTTTCTTTTTATTTATTATATAATTAAAAAAACCCTTGATAGGTGTACTGCCTAACTGAGACTTGTTATATCACTTGCATATCATTGCTCTTTTGTTGATTTTGATTGCTTCCATTTCATTTGTAAGTCGCTTTGGATAAAAGTGTCTGCTAAATCACTAAATGTAAATGCAAATTAAAGTCTGATTACTGTAAAGGATACAAAGAAAATCATAATTTCAAAATAGAAGATAATTTGAAGAATATTTTGGTTGCCATTGGTGGATCTTTTATGTTCCACAGAAATGAAGTTTGACATGAGAATGAGTAAATGATGATAACATTTTTATTTCTGATCCCCTATCCCTTTAACTTAGGGTGATTTTCTCCAATTAAATTGACATTAAAAAAACGAAACAGAATCATTGTCATTTGGATTCATATAAGTACTTAGTATTCGCTGTTTTACTTACCTGTTAAGCTGTCTGGTCGTGGGTCTATCCGCTCGTAGATCTCATAGCTGTGTGTAATGTATGGATTAGGTACGTCATGCAGAAACGTTCTTGACATCATCGACCCATAATGCTGGGGTACTGCGGTCATCCCTGGCCCTACCTGCTCGTCATCTCTCACAGAGCCTACACCTCCACAATAGGGTGACGTGGTGCGGCTCGAGCGGGAGGAGCCCATTCTGCGCAGGGTGGCAGGAGAGGCCTTCTGTGGGACTGCAGACAGGGGGGTGCTTGTGAAAATGGAGGATAGAGGTTTAGGTTCAGTCGTAATCGGCAACCCATAGGAGCTTCCAGGGGTCCGAAGAGACTCTCGAGACGGAGAGACGCTGCTTCCGTACAGCAACTGAGCACGAGTGGGCATTGAACCAACTCGGCGCATAGCACGACCCGGTTTAGCCCTGTCCATCATTCCTGACACCTACAAGAGGACGCAAACATCCTTTACAGCATCTACACATAGATAATTATGATTAAGCTGCAATTATGTTAAAGGTGACATATCATGAAAATCTGACTTTTCCAGGTTTTAAGTGCTATAATGAGGTCCCCGGTGCATCTACAAACCAAGGAAACGTGAAAAAGATTAACCCAGTAACTATGTTTGGTAAGCATTTTTCTGCAAGCGTCTGAGAAAATGAGCGTGTCAGATTTTGCTCCCTTGGTGACGTGGCAAAGGGATCTCATTATAATATTATCACCCCTTAATCTGTAAATTTCCACCCACGGCGCTGTTATTGTGTTTTCGCAAGCGACAACGGTGTACCAGCTCTAATGCCATGGCGAAAGTTTGAGCAAAACATGCTAACTGTTCTGTCTTTGGCTGCACAGACGAGCACAGAACACTGTAGAGTCCCAGCCTCAGAGGAGACAAGCAGTGGATTTATTGATTTATTTACTGTATATTGCTGCTTCCACACAGATCTAAAAAAAACATGCAATTTATTTCCCAGCTGTTTACCTTCACAGCCATAACTGACTGTTTTTGTAACTTGTGTGTTTTTAACGTAAACTTGTGTGTGAATGACAACTTAGTTTAGTACTCACATGCTGTGACAGCCGCTTTCTGTCTGTGTGCTTCGGATGTGTGCTCTCAGAAAACCGTATATCAGAAGTTTAAGTTTTAGATAAACATGATAATCGGAACCAAAACAGATGTTTTTAGCAGGTGCGAGCCGTAATGGCGCAGCTTTATTCTGGAAAAGGGGGCGGAGAGCAGCAGCACATTTGCATTTAAAGAGACCGGCCGAAAAACAGTGTTTCTGCTTCCACTCAAAATAGGCATTTTCAAAATGATATAATAAATGATCTGTGAAGTATTTTGAGCTGAAATTTCACAGGCACATTCTGGGGACACCAGAGACTTATTACATATTGTAAAAAGGGGCATAACATGTCTACTTTAAAATGAAAAAAAAAAGATCTGCTGATATAACTTATCAATCTTCTTAGAACAGATTCCACTGAAAAAAGGGCATATAACTTGTCAATTACTCTAAAAAACTGTTTATACTTGACTCGATAGATTTAATTTTCTGTCCTGTTATTGGACAGAAGTTTTACTGGTGTGTAATTTAGACTTTTTATTTCAAATACAATCTCAGGTTTTAGTCCTTCAGGTACCGATTTATCAGTTTGCCTGTCAGAAAGTGTTTCTCGTGTTCTCGGCTGTCTATTTTAGAGCCGTCTAGTTTTGTTTTGTAAAGCTTTGACACACTCTACTGCTTCGGCTTTGTTTGTATACCTCATAAGTGTGTCTTCTTCTATGAGATCGAGCCGGGAAGGAAGAATTACAGTTACATAGCAAGTGCCAAAACCTTTACCAAATTTTGTGCTATTTTGATGAAGTAAAAAAAAAAAAAAGAAATATATATTTTTTTCCTGTCAAAATTGACCGAAGATCACCCCAGGTTAAGGTAATAAAGTGGATGAAGTGCAAAATGCTTTGTTTTGACAGACTGTTTTTTTTTAATTTTTTTAATCAGATTTTTGGTGTCTAAATATGGTGTCTTAAACGTAAGTCTCTTAATATTAACTTCTTGTCTATTGAACTGTTGTATAAAGTCAATATCACATTTGTAATCACGCTGACTTTTGGAGAAAAAAACAGCACTCTTCGTGTGATATTAACTATATGAAATTATATAAATATATAAATTTTCTGCCCCATATCATAAATTATGTGATAATTCTAAATGCATTTTAATACACTGATTCATGCAGTGAAAGAACGCACTCTAAATGCGCACGCGCAGTAGTCTAACCTGCTAGACTTCATCACCTAATGTATGAGCACACTTTGTAGGTGTGTTTTGTGTTTGCTTTTCGCGATTTTTTTTCCTGTCAAAATTGACCGAAGATCACCCCAGGTTAAGGTAATAAAGTGGATGAAGTGCAAAATGCTTTGTTTTGACAGACTGTTTTTTTTTAATTTTTTTAATCAGATTTTTGGTGTCTAAATATGGTGTCTTAAACGTAAGTCTCTTAATATTAACTTCTTGTCTATTGAACTGTTGTATAAAGTCAATATCACATTTGTAATCACGCTGACTTTTGGAGAAAAAAACAGCACTCTTCGTGTGATATTAACTATATGAAATTATATAAATATATAAATTTTCTGCCCCATATCATAAATTATGTGATAATTCTAAATGCATTTTAATACACTGATTCATGCAGTGAAAGAACGCACTCTAAATGCGCACGCGCAGTAGTCTAACCTGCTAGACTTCATCACCTAATGTATGAGCACACTTTGTAGGTGTGTTTTGTGTTTGCTTTTCGCGATATACTCGATAATATCAAATCGCACATCGTTAAAACAACAATTACATATTGCTAGATATAATCGCAGACCATACATATCGCACACCCCTATGTTTAGATTTGTATAATGCATCGTCTTCTTATCGATCCACCAGTTCACATTTAATACTAGAACCGCCAGAGGTCGCTGTATACCTAAAAGCGCCAGCGGGTAAATTTTACCCACGCACATGGCAACTGTATTTATATGGCTAAAGAACATATTATTTCACTGTATTATGCTACTGTCTTCACTAAGAAGTGTCTAGAGTAATGAAATTATTATGTCTAGTCATCAACTATATTTATCCTGTTGTTTTATGTTCAAGACTTTTTAATGCAGGCTACACTAATCCATAACTGTCAGTAGCCTAAGCTAAAAAAAAAAAAAAAAGTCTGCACTGACAATGGAAATTAGAAGGTAGTAGCCTAAATATTGGGTGGTATAATATTATAATACAATGTCATTAATCAATATATTAAGATAACCCATGCTATGAATGACTAAAACAGCCTATAGACAATAATGAGCAATAATAACTCGTAACCACACTGCATAGGATGATAAAATGAAAAATTCAAGCACACAGCTTCACCTAAATATTTATTAATTTGTTTAGTTATATCATTTATAATTTGAATAAGAGAACACCATTAAACTTTGGGTAATCAAAAAATGGTTTTATTCATTATATCATATAGATCTGATTTTTTTCTTCTTCAGGAAACGGCCAGACTAGAATAACAACACAGTAGGTAACAGTCACATTCAGCCATATCGCAATTCTGGTCTTTCCGTCCCCAAATTTAAGACCTCTTGAAATCATAATTAAGACTTTCTTGTACAATTTAAGACTTTTTAAGGCCTTAAATTTGATACAACTAAATTTAAGACTTTAAGACCCCGCGGAAACCCTGAGTAAAGCAAAAAATAATGAATGTAATATTTGAAGTATTTATACATCATAGTAATGTCTGTTTTTTATACTACAGTATGGTAATGAAGAATCAGAAGAGTATCACAACTGAGAATAAAACGAATCCTATACACAAAAAACTAAGACACATTATTATAATGAGAATTTAGGACATAGGGATAATGTTCATAACTGTCATGAAAAAAATTAATAATATAATGATAATAATAAAACGCTTCAGGAGAGAGGCTTCATTTTTTTTCTTGTACTTTTGATTTTCTGGTGAAACATGACCAGCACATGTTTTTCAAGGGATTAAGCTCTTAAGAAGTGAGGGATGTGAGATCTACCTGTAGCTCAGGTGTTCGGGGGTGTCCTGCAGCCTGGCCCTCAGCCCTGGAGCCCCTCTGCAGCCTGGAGCTTCCTCCTGAAGCAGGTAACGTGTTCTGAAGTCTCTGCTGACACTCACCCTGTGCCTGACCGCTGTAGTAGCTCACAGCATCCTGATAACCACTATCAGAGTAAGAGTTCATCTGGGCAGAACTGTGAGAGTTCCCCACAGACCCTGAGACCGACAGTAAACTGCAGGTTAGACACTTCATATTTAAGGTGCCTTTACACTAGAGGTTTGGTGTGGACCCACACCAGTTTGTTTTCCAAGCTTTATTTGGTCAAATTTAGCAAGTGTGAAAGCAAATCTGTCCAAACTTGTGGAGGTAAACTGGTATTGATGGCATATAATTTGCATGTGTCTGCTTGCGATATAGAACTGCATTTGGAATATTGAAATACAAATTACAAGGGTAAACATTTGCCACTAGTGCTCAGGGTGGCATTCATGTGGATTTCGACTTGAGGAAAGAAGTCATAATGATAGACAGACAAAGTAATGGTCAAAGCCTTCAATCCACTGTTAATATGCTGTCTAGTTGTAGCAGGCGACTTTGTTACAAATACTGTGTTGGCTGTGGTTCACAGTACAAAACTGGTCACCAGCTTCTTCTATTGTCTACATATGCTTATGGAAAATGCCATCTTAATCTGTGACAGTTGTTTATTCCTCTGTGATCCACCATGCACGGTGCTGTTTTACTTGTCTACAATGGCAAGCATTTGGTTCAACAGTGTACCATCACCCTCTAGAGGTGAAATAAGACAAGCCCCTGGACTGGACTTAACTTCACACAGTTTGTTGTGAAGTGACAATGCTTTGTACATGAAGAGGATCTAAAATTTGGCAGAGAAAAGCTAAGGTATGTGTACAGAACGCGTTACTACATACTCATGGCTCTACATACAGTCATAAATCAACCTACAAGGAATTATTTGGGAATTTGCTGAAAGCCAAGAATATATCTTAATATCTTAATTGGCTGTTTTGAATAAAATGACAAATTAGTGCACTGTGCAGTTCCAGTATGTTTTTGTTTTCAGGGTTGAGGGCAATCCAGCTTAATCAATTTCATCACGTGTGGGTTTTGTTTACTTAAGGGAGTGACAACCACAATTTTTCAAAGACTCTCAACCATATTTTTGTCAAAGCCTGCTGTATAAATAGAACTGTACTGCTCCACTCTTTACTGAGGTATAAAAGCTGTCATCGATTAATTAATGATTAAAATGCCATTGTTCTTTGACTGGCTAAAACTGGGTTTATTCATGCATTCACTCATTCATTCCATACCTGCAGATCTCCAGGGAAGAGACATCTCAGAGGAACTAAAAAAAAGAGAAACAAACAGAAAATAAGTTTATTTATGTTACTGTCACATAAAATCACTGCCAAAACTGTGGAATGAGATGCGAGAGCCACACCGGAGGATAACACCAAAATCTGCAATAGCAAAAGCTTTCACTTGACTTTTTGATATGGTTTGCAAAATGTTCATATGAAAGTCATTTTACATCCTTTGATGGTAAGAAAGTCACACAAATCTAAAGTAACATGAGGATGAGTTAATGATGAAATCTAACAAGCCATGAGGTAACAACAAAATTCAAGATATTATCAATAACTGAGCAGTACATACTGCTCTAAAACTGAGCAGGAGTGAGTGACTTGGCTTAAAAAAACATCCAAAACGGTGTTTTATGAAATTCAAAAATTCCCAGAAGTTTTCTGTAAGGGGTAGGTTTAGGTGTAGGGTTGGTGTAGGGTGATAGAAAATACAGTTTGTACAGTGTAAAAACCATTACGCCCATGGGAGTCCCCGTAAACCACAAATGCAAGTATACACACACACACTGCAAATTTTATGTATATATATATATATATATATATATATATATTATATAATACTCCTGGTCACATACACATACATACATGCTGATATAAATATATAAAAACAGCTTTATCGACTCTGCAGCATATGCACAGACTATTGGACCACACATAATATGAATACAAAAACAACATTTAAAACGGAATTGAAGTCAAGATTTCAGAAATTATTGAACGGAATACAAATAATAGAGGCTACACGGTTTATTCCAGCACACAAGCAAGCATGCTTGATATATCAAGACGTGATCCCCCAATCAAAACTTCACACTTGCACAAGAAGGGAATTTTCTGCTTACATTTCCCCCAACCTAGAAACCATGCACACACGCTGTCTTGGAAAAATAGTGCTGGTTATCTGAAAACACTGGTTAACTTGGAGTTTAGCGATAACCAGTGCGATATTCTGTTCAAAGAAAAGTGTAATACAGCAAGTCATTCGCAAGGCTGCTTGTGTTATTTTCTGCTTCTAAAACTAAAACCATCGACTGTAATGTCCGTGATTGTGGTTCCTTAATAAATAAACTTGTATAACCTTTGTTCTGCATACAATGTTTCTGGGCTTGTGATAGTGCAAGCTCTTATGTTTTAATAGAAAAACATGATAATCTGGAAATGTTGAAATAGTAGCTATATTACTGTTTCAGCTTTTGAGTTGTAAAGTTTTCATAATTATAAATTACACAACTTTCTGCGAAACTATTGACTGCCCAAAATCTGATGTCAGGCTCTGACAAATATCTAGCCAAAAAGTTGTGCATGCTTCCTAGAATGTATATACATTTGTTGTGCTTCACGCAATATCCACCAGGTGGCACATGAAAAAAACATATGTGTGTGTGTGTTTGTTCACGGTGTGTTGGATGGGTTAGTGCAGAGTACAAATTCAAGTATGGGAACACTATAGTTGGGTACACGTCACGTCACGTCACTTCAACAAAGTAATAATAATAATAGGACAAGGTTGCAGTTACTACAATGCTGTTTAAACAAAAATAATTAACTGTAATTCTACTGCTCAAATACTCTACTTTCGAGTGGCAAAGCTAATTTTTAGGATTGTAGCTAGTGCTTGAAGTGGAAAAAAAGTGAAGTACTTTACTTTAAATAAAGTACTTTTTAATTTTCATAATTCACTACACCTCTGACCACCGCATAATCTAAAACACCTTTAGATTATGATGATGCATAGCCAGCATCAATTATAAAACACTCTTGCTTTCAAGACAAATACATGCTAAAAAGAATAATTGACTGATATCTGGACACAAGTCACTCTGCATTATTAGCATTATTAGTAATTATCTTTACTGGATCCTTGGACTTTCCATGAATTTACTGGTGTGATCACAAAAACCTGCTTCTTTTCATTTTTAAGGTATTGTTTTCGTTATAATGTACCTATTCAAATTGGTAATCAATAATTTATTATAATCCTACGCCTCCCCTGACATGCTCTCATGGTAGGCAGACACACTCTGTTGAGAGGTGACTGGTAGTGTGATTTATATAGTGTCATTTCTAATCACTTTGACTTGGAGCAACATGTGCCAGAACACTAAAGATACAGAAAGTGTGTACCGGCCCACTTCAAGCACCGATCGTAGCTTGTGGCCACGGCCCTGCTTTGATGTGGTGTGACAGACCAGACGCTACAGCTCGCTGGAGAAATAAACGCTCTAAGAGTAGCCTATTTCACTAAAGATATGCACTGTATTAGCCTACACATTTATTAGATTTTACTTAACCTGTTAGTGATACCTTAATTATTTAAAAAATATGTTTTTTTTACAAGTTTGGCATAAAAACATGTCATGACACTGTGTAAATGATTACATTTCTACAACAAATTGGAGTAGAAACAATTTTATAATTAGATGTATAATGTAGAAGTTACACGTCAGCATACTTTTTTTTGATTGTTTATTATTATATCTCAATTAACAATCAATCTCCGCACACCTGACGGCAATCGATAGGTAGGAAACAAAGACCACAAAGATCAAAACTCAAGGAAAAACAAAACAATTCCCGCACACTGTCAATTAGTGCAAACGTATTAAAAAGGGTTAATAACAAAGTTTCGGTGACCTTCATCGGGTATCTTCAAACATGAAATTACAATTTAAACCACATTTAAAAAGAATTCATGACCAATCACTGCAAAGGACCGTCGCTTAGTAATAACCCACACTGGGTACATAATTAACATCTATCACCAAAATTTTTTTTTTTATAACATCACATTAAACAGTGCTTCATCGTTCATGCCTAGAGGAGATCAAGTCTGAAGGGTAAAAATCCAAAACAGCTCAAGTCGCTGTAAGAGTAATTCCATATCTCCCCCTCTAGGTGGCATATTAACCCTTTCAATCCCACAAAAGCGTAGAGTAGAAACATCATGGTTGTGGGCAAGAAAATGGGCTGCAACTGGATAATTCATATATATTCTCCTGATAGAGCTCTTGTGTTCACTAACTCTGCTTAAGTTGACGAGATGTTTTACCAACATAGCTTAAACCACAAGGACAACGAATCAAATAAACAACATGAGTGGAGACACAAGTTATCACAGAGTTGATTTTATATTTTTTACCGGTTCTCGGATGACAAGAAGGAAGTTTTGGATGTATTATTGCACTGAGCGCAATTACCACACTTATAGTTGCCATTTGGTATAGGACTAAGTAATCTCTGGGAAGAACCAGGAGTATCACTTTTCAAACGAGCATGCACCAAATAATCTATTAAATTAGTCTGTACACAATTAACGGAGGATGCTGAAAGATAGAACTCAACTCAGGGTCAGAGGATAACAAGTACCAATATTTTTTTTTAAATCGATCTCATCAAAAAAGACTTAGAAGAATGAGTTGTAATAAAAGTAAAAGAACATTTCTTTACTTTTTTTGTTTTATTTTTTAACAACTCAGAGCGTGTTTTTTGGAAAGAGGTATTAAACACTTCATCAATCCAATCAGAAGTATAACCTCTATCTAAAAACTTATTTTTCATGATTTTGGATTTTTCAATAAAATCTTCATCGAAATAACAGATCCTCCTCAATCTATAAAACTGGCTTTTCGGAAGTCCCTTTTTTAAGGAAGTCGGATGAAAGCTGGTTGAAAGCAACAAAGTGTTGCGATCCGTATCTTGTGTACAAAGTCGTTATCAACTTGTCTTCATTTTTTTGAACCCACATATCTAGAAAATGCACTAACCTGCAGACGAACTAACCTCGAAAGTAAATTCTAAGTTCTCATCAAAGTTATTAAGAATCGACACAAATTCCTCAACCTCATTTGATATATCATGATATAGCATCAATATACCTAAACCATTTAATAATACGTGAACAAAAAGGATTTTTTCCGGCACTGAAGCAATGTTCAAAGTAACCCATAAGCAAATTGGCATAATTAGGGGCAAAAATCGAACCCATAGCTGTACCAGTAATCTGAAGAAAAAAATCCTTGTCAAAATTGAAATAATTATACTTCAAAACATACGAGGCCATCTCAATCAAAAGCTCCGATAACTTTGGAGGTTAATTCGTCTAGAGTGCATTTTCTAGATATGTGGGTGCAAAAAAATGAAGACAAGTTGATAACGACTTTGTACTTTGACTAAGCACTACAATAGTGCAGTAATAGGTGATCAAATGTACATAAAATATGTAATAATACTATTCATAATTAATATTAGATAATTATTAACTGAATAATTAATATAACATTTTATCTGCGTTTCAGTACACATTTTTTTTGTGTTTATGTTCCCGCGTTTATGTTCTACGTTCGTGTTTAACTAAGCAGATCATCAGCTTCAGTATTGGTCATGTCTTTCAGTGCCAGAGCCCTCCTCGTGGTCTTTGACTAGCATTCTCACTGGCCACCTCTGTAAAGCAGCCTCCTAAAAACCACAAACAAAACACCTGCAGATGTACATGTGCACTTTTGTAATCTTTTCTGTGCTAATCGAAACATAGACTTTAAACAATGTACACAGAGCCAAGCGAAAGGCACACTGCCCATCAACAGTGCATTCTGATTATAAAACATCAAAAGAGTATTTACCGTTGAAATCAGAGGTAGAATCTGAATATTTTGGGGTAATATAATAATGCTTTTTTTATTATTATTTTAACCTTTTTGACTCGAGGACCCCCAGCTGTCCAACACAATATTCAATATAATGTAAATGCACACTATCTGTGGTCAACAGGGTAATGGCGCAGTTGTGTTTTGTGTGTGTGCGAGTGTGTGTGCGTGAGTGCGTGTGTGTGTGTGTGCGTGAGTGCATGTGTGTGTGCTTGAGTGTGTGTGTGCGAGTGTGTGTGTGTGTACGTGTGTGTGTGCGTGCGTGCGTGTGTGTTTTTGTGACATATGAGGACACAAATTTGTACAATGACATGGGTATGACAGGTATTACAAGGAGAAGGTGACTTATGAGGACATTACCCCATGTCCCCATTTTTCAAAATGCTTATAAATCATACAGAGTGAGTTTTTTTGAGAAAGTAAAAATGCACAAAGTTTCCTGTAAGGGGTAGGGTTAGGTGTAGGGCAATAGCACATCCAGTTTTTACAGTATAAAAACCATTACGCCTATGGGATGTCCCCACAATTCACAAAAACAAACCATGTGTCCGTGTGTGTGTGTGTGTGTGTGTGTGTGTATGTGTGTGTGTGTGCACGCATGTGTGTGTGTGTGTGTACCCGCCACTAGCAGCTCCTGGGGATTCTGAACTCAGTCGGCATCGTTCCAGCTGATTGGCCACAATCTGTCGCTCCACCTCCAATTCCAGAGTCAAACGCTCAAACTGTAGCTCCTAAACACAATACACACACTCAGTCTCTGTCTCTGATGAAGAACAGTATCATGATTGAGCCAGCAGTAAACACACGCACTGCATGTACCAAAAATGCTTTAAAATCACGTACACACACCCTAGTGTAACTGTAAGTTAGTTCTGTCCTGCAGCAGGAGGTTATGCACTGCTCTAAAAGGTGACAACTATAGATTCTCAACACACAGAGAGAGCAGCACCCTCTAGAGAACGATCTGTTGACATCAGAGACATCAGCTTCACACTCCCACTGTCCATGAAAAGGAAACTAGCAGACCTGATCCATTAAAGGGGTCATATGTTGCGATTTAAAATTTTCCTTTCTCTTTGGAGTGTTACAAGCTCTTGGTGCATAAAGAAGATCTGTAAAGTTGCAAAGACTAAAGTCTCAAATCCAAAGAGATATTCTTTATAAAAGTTAAGATTCAGCCACTCCTACCTAAAATGGCTGGTTCTAACACGCCCCCACATGTCTACGTCACTATGTGGGAAGATTTGCATAACGCCACCAAAATGTTCACGCAAAGAAAGAAGGCGCAACTTTTAATCTCGCTGTAGTATTGTTGCCACCGCGGCCAGAGCCGTGAAGGCACTGTGTGACTCGTTGTGAAAGCGAAACTACTTTGTTTGTCCTTCCAAAAGAGGACTTTGTCATGCCTAGAGCTGATCCGTGCTGGTCTCTGAGGAAATACATCAACTTCGCACTGTGGATCGCCAGAATGGCTTTCACCGTGGATGAAGCAGAGTCCAGCCCGGGGTCGTCACATGTGGTTGCCGCAAGCCTGCCCACCACCGCTCACTCTAGAATGCTGTGTGTGACGCTGTTTCATTGTGAAAGCGAAACTACTTTGTTTGACCTTCAAAAAGAGGACACGACTAGAAATCAGTGGTTAAGTTGTATTTACAACACTGTTCCAGAACACTTCAACCCAAATATTCAGATGTGTGCAGCACATTTTATGGAGGACTGTTTCCTGATCCTGGTAGAGTAGACTACAATGCCGGCTGTTCTGACTCACACACTGTAAGTAAGTTTTTTATATTTAAAGAATTTGCCACTGACGATTCAAACGCGAGTTTTGGGCAGTGTAGAGTAGGGCTTGTTGTTTGTCATTTCTCTGATCACAAATGCAGACATGGTTTTATGTTTACGCGGCGCGATGCAACGCAACGCTTTAAAAGACAGTATAAGTCATTATAATCCGTAATTATGTCCCCACTGGATGCAACAAATGCCTCGTTTATAATGGGTTTTAATGTTTTTGTCTTGTCGCTCCGGCCGGACAGGGCATCACAGTATGGTAGGGGCGTAACATTTCCGTCACACGCTTGAGGTATTCGCCCAATCACAACGCACTGGATAGCTGGCCAATCAGAGCACACCTCGCTTTTCAGACCGATGAGCTTTGTAAAAAATCGACGCGTTTCAAAAAGGCGGGGCATAGAGGAGAAACAATAATGTACAGTATGTGGAAAATAATGTGTTTTTTGAACCTTAAATACACAAAATAATGTTCTTTTTAGCAACATCATATGACCCCTTTAACTCAAACCCTGTCAGCAATCTTTTTAAACAGACCCTGTATTTCAGTGGGCCTCATGACTGTAGCAAAAGTCCAGTATTTTGGACAATAAACATCTGATAAATGACAATGTAGAGAGCACACATAGCACACAGCCATAAAGCAACACCTGAACTACAAACCACAATTCTCAATTCTTAAACCCCAAGACTGATGTGAGCAAAGGGACAGTCACATTACACTTTCCACTCCATTGGCTTCCATTTATGTGAACGTGGGAGAACAAAAACACAGACTTGCACAAATTTCAATGTGGGGTGGGCAATATGGCAAAAACATCACATCACAATTTCTTTTCAGGCAGGATCACAATCAACAATTTTATCATGATTCTTTATCTAGTTGGTTTTTAAGACAGCTTTACGAGTAACTGAGCAGCACAATATTTAAACAGTATAGCCCAACAAATGACAGAAAAAAGAATAAGAGACTATTTAGGTTAGAGGGAGTTGACACGACTAAAATCTTGTTTATGACGATTCAAAATGATATACATAAGTTTCATTATATCATAATAGGGTTATTTTAATTTTCCTTATTTAACCCTCCGCTTCCTTTGTGGGTCACACTCGGTACCTTTGCGGTCAAAAGTGACTGAAGCCATGAAATGTAACTCCACCCCCCCCCCCCCCCCGGACAGCGACGGAATTTTTTTTTTTTTTTTTTTTTTTTTTTAATTATTTCATTATCACAAATATTTAAACATCTTCTGGTAACAGAACTTCAAAACCAGTCCAAGTTTTTACAACATAAGGATTATTTTTTGTAATACATTTTTCAAACATTTCCATATTCTCAAGCATTTTACAATAGTCATATAAAACTTGTATTTCATCCATCAAAATCTGTTTATATAATAATGTTATTGCTATTTCTTTTTTCTTTTGTTTCATTATATTTCTCCTTCTCCATATTGCAAATCT